GTTAGTTGCAAATAGACAGGAAAAAAATGAATTCAAGAAAACATCCTGGAGTACCTCCAAAAGGTGGCTGGTTTTTAGCAGATTTAACAGTTTCACCTAATTAAAAGAAGCACTTAATAAGCTAAGTTCTCAGGATTAAGTCCATAGTACTTAATTTTAAGTCCTTGCAATCATTTTAGCACAGTTAAGATAATACCAGAATCTCCATATTACAAATCTGCAAATCCCAAGTATCTGATCATTTTCACTGAGGCCTATAGTCAGTTCTGAGAGACTAATTAAAAGTATAATTTAGTTACGGGAAATTGTAGAAGAAATTCCCCTTGACAATGCAAAATAAACTTGGCTACACCTCATCACTATATTTGTATGTAAATAACTCTATAATAACCTAGCTTATTCTGAAATCCTTTTAAGGAGACCACATGACTCACTTTAATAATGCATTACAGACATTGTACAATTCCCTTGGCTTTTTATTATTCACCTTATTAATCAACTTAACATTCAGAAACTTTAGAAGTCAATTTTTCGTCCTAGATACAATCTAGGAATTTTAAGTACATTCAAGTAACAAGGTATATTTCTTATGGTAATGGTGTTGGCCCTTATTGTAAATATGATGTTTTTACTTCATGGTATTTGTCAAGAACACTCTCATTTTAAGGATTACACTTCAGTTTTCAGAACAATATCAAAGTAAATACACATCTCAAAGCAATATTACTGGAATGTCTTTTGTCTGGGCCACCAACTTGACTCAAATAGGAAATTCCTGGTTTAGCTGAGAGAAAGGATGATGGATGGCAATTAGCCTAATATTGATGCTCCACTCAGAGGCAGAAAGAGACTCATATAAATGCATACTTGAAGATTTCCAGAAATTTTGGTTTGATATTAAAAAAAGAAGATTGCAAAACTTAAGAAGAGTAATTTATTAATCACTATATTATTATTATTTTTATGTTCCCCAGATGCACTTCTCCTTATTATAAATTCATTTTAGAGTGATGGAGTGATTTCAGATGGGCTGTTCAGGAAAGACACGTTGAGGAATTGCCATTTGAGTAGACTGGCACTCTCAACCCCTTACCGTGGTTCATCATGGAAAGTCATTGGGAAGAATGAGAACTGTCTCCTGCCCAACGGCTCTTGTGGCCATAAAAAAGAAGAAAGGACAAAAGCAGAAAACTTGGGCTGGTGTGAACAGCTTAAAGTGGTGTGATGGAGGGCTGAGGACAGGACAGGGATGGCAAGCTTCTCACATTTTATCTTTATAGCCTGTCGAGTTGGTTGGCAAGCAGTTGTTCATAATATGCAAGAAAGTGGGGACAGTCACAACATAGTGCTGTACTAAAATGAAACAGAAAGACACAGCAAGAAACATTCATCTCAACACCAAACCAAACCAAACCAAACCAAACAACAAAATGACTGTCCAAACATGGAACAGCCACCTCTCAGCTGATAGTAATTTCACCATTTGTGACCAATTGGCAGTAACATTACAGATAAGATCTAAGTACCAGCTTAAGTACTGAACCAGATGATCTTTGAAAAGTACAGTTTTATGATTCTATGAAATACACTGAACAGAATATATTGTTCTTTTAAGTCATATGTTAAGACAATCATATGGGAGAAAAAAGTGTTAAAATTAACTTTCCATCTTTTTAATAGTCAAAAGCCAAGGAAACTTTTTGTATATACAGTTAAGAAACCCAGAATTAGCACAATCCATAAAATAAGGAAAATATGCATTTTTTTTCTTCTGAGACAGTTTCTTGAACATCGATCCTTGATCAGAAAGTTGGGAATAGTTGCGCTCCATTCAAATTCTTCAGATTCTGAGATTTAGATTATGGTCACTCTTACTGCTATGTTTTCCTTATCATTAAGGTTACTTTTCTCATTTAAAAAAAGAAAGAGATAAAGAAAAAAAAGTGTCTCGTGTACATGCATAGATATGTTTCTGACAGTGTATTCACTATTCCCATGAATCATTTTTAGAAAAAGAATTCTGCAATCAAACTTGGGAAATGCTACACACAGTATTTTCCTTCTGGAAGCGTATTAACATAGTGAAGGTTCTAAGACACCCTGGTACAGAAAATAATAGTAAATGAATGAATACTAGTTTAAACAAAGTTAAACAGATTACTTCCCCAATTCATGTCACCACAGAAGTATTTATTTTTAATAGCATCTGTTAACATTGTAAGTCTCTAATGTTCCAAGGCAGTATATTTGGGGAGGTTCTGCTCTGAACATTTTTTTTAATTGTTCTTCCTCTTTGATTTAGCTTTGGCTGTTTTTGCAATCCTATTTCTTTCCTTCTCTTTTTGTTTTTGGACATTACACTTATAGAGTGCTTACTGTAAGCACTGCTATTCTAGGCACTGTTTAAAGTACTTTCTGGTCATCATCTTACTTATTCCTGACAATAATCATCTGAGATATATACAGCAGATCACCAAAGGGACCCCAGAGAGATGAAATAATCCCACCCCCACATCCTGCTGCTGGTAAGAGGCACAGCTGAGAGAGCTGAGATTGAAATCAGGTCTCTCTGACCTGAAGCCTGTGCCTTTAACATACAAGTGACCAGTTCTTTATTCTTCATCTCCTAGAAGCATGCCACTCCTCCCAAGCTCCAAGAGACCAACAACCTACCCACTTCTCAATCCAAAGATATTTTCCAGATCTTATTTTATAGGACCTCTCTGTTGCGCTTACAGCTGTTGGCCAGTCTCTCCCACTTGAAATTTCCTAGGCTTTGGGATTCCTTGGTTCTTATGCTTCTCTGGCTGTTCCTTCTTCAACTTCTAAGCTTCCTTATTAATGTTAGTGCTCCTCAGGGCCCCACCTTGGCCCCTTGCTCTTCTCTCCTTTGCCCTCTGCTGGGACATCCCCATTCACACCTCCAAGCCTGCCCTCTCACCCTAGGCATCAGACTCATATCTAAGTCCCTGCTTTTTTAGGCACTTCAAACTCAAGAGGTCCTCCAGTAACCTCATGATGCACAATAGCAGGACACTCAGGGGAAATTCTATAGAGTTTAATCAAGAGACTATTAATGTGGAGCAGGAATAACAATACTAACCAGGGATGATCAAGTACCCAGGGATGAGCAGCGGTGAGAAGCTATTACCCTAAGGGAACAAGGGATAGAAGCTGTTTCTGGAACTTGGCCAGAACTTCGTTTGGTAGGAGGGGCTGACTACAGAGTTGGAAGACGGAATGAAGCCACTGCCTATCAGGGCCCAGCCAGGGTGGACACCAGGGGAATACGAGCTCTGATCTCTCTCTCCTACCAGTAATCTTCTGTTAGATCCTCCTATTAGTCAAGCTCACTACAGGCCAAAGGGCAAGTCTTTACAGGGAACCTTCCTGGCACTGAGGGTGGAGAAAGGGATAAGCTTATCTGGAGGAAATCAGACACTACCTGTACATTTGGTATCTTAAAACTGCAGCATCTTAGTCAAAGGTGTCATTTAAATGCATACCTTGGACTCCCCTTTCCCCAATTTCTTACATCTAACCAGTCTTGTCAGTTTAGCTATTTTGAATACTGTCTGTCTTCCTTTAGACCCTTTTCCCATCACCCTAGTGTCAAGGCTTGTCATCTCTTAATTGGGCCATCGCAATACACTACACTGTGCCTAGTATGTAGTCTAATGCATTTGTGGTGTGCGCTTACAGACCAATCTATTAGAATAAAAATATATGACCAAGCTTATTTATTTATCACATTTCTGATAACATTATTATTGATAACTTCAGAAAATGTAAAAACATATTAAATATAATTTAGAATCTCATTTATGCATTCTGTTGCTGTTTCTCCTGGAAATTATTTTTTCCTATTTTCCTTTAAGATAAATGAAAATATGAAATACTTAAAATTGATGCTTTTCTCAATCCATTGTTTCTGTTCCACTGTCTCCTCGTCAGACATTCATAATTAACGGTCCATGTGAGCAAGAAGTGACTCTTTGGTAAGAGAACATTTGCATCCATTAACGTTTCATCCACTTCTAAGGTAGATGTTACTGTGGTGCTGAAAGGATAGCTCCCGGTCACCTGTCGACACACTTGAGTTTGCTTTGCCAAAAGAAAGACTAATAACAGAACTAGAGTAGACACACCGAAGACATGAGTGGTAGATAATTACCTCATAACTTCACGACACTTCTCCAAAAACATCTCGCTTGAATTTCTTTCAAAAATTTTTATGTGCAGTATAGTTGTCAAACTAGGACTTTTTAAAAAAGCAGTCCTTATCTTTTTTTTTTTTTTTCCATTTTCCCCAAAGTAAAAACACTGAGGCAGGGTAAACCAAAGAAGACACGAGAAAGTTAATTGTATAGATATGTCTGTCACTGAAATTGAGAGGTTGCATCCCCTGTAAATAGAGAAGGGGAAAGTCTAGAGACTTTGTAAAGGGTATTTGCAGGTTGGAGATGAGGACTTGGAGAAGTCCTCTCCAGGTTCAAGCTGACGCTCCTTGTTCAAAGAAAACCACGCTCACCACCCACCCCCGTCAGTCCTTTTGAGGCTAGGGAGCTTAGCCCCCGCTGTGTAATTCCAGCAGAAGGTAAATTAACACAAAGCCGCCGCACACTGCGCTGGGGGAGGGTGGACAGGTTAAGCAGCACTGGGGTGCAGTAGCGACCAGAAGGGAAAGTGACCTCATTTTGTCTGAGGAAGCATCATCCAACAAGCCCACCTTTGATGTGGATGCCAGCGGCGGGGAAAGAGCACAAAGGGTGAAAGCTGGAGGGAGCAAACTTCCCTGTTCTTCCACCCCATCCCTGAAGCCCGCCGGGAACAAGGAAACGCGAGGACAACAAAGCGTGCGCCCAGGCTACACAGCCAGCGCCTCCAGCAGCCCGGCCATCGCGCCCTGGGGCGCGGCGCTCCCCAGCGACAGAGCGAGGACCCCGGAGCGCGGGCGCAAGCAGGACCACGGAAGCTGGGCGGGGTGGGGGGTCCCCTACCTTGAGCAGCACAAAGAGCCAGAGCAGAGGCAGGAGGCGGCCGCGCGTCCTCGTGGGCAGATGCCCCATCGCGGCGCGGAGGGGGAGCCGGGGGCACTGTGGCGCCAGCTGGATACCCCTGCGGCGGCTCACAATGGCGAACGGGGGCTTCAACCTCAGACCTCGGGCGCCGAGACTGCTCCCGGGGGGCGCATGCTGCTTTTCCAGTCCCCCTGCGCCCGCTCTCTTTCCCCTTCTGCGCCCGGGGTCCTCCAGGAACGTGCCAGGCGCTACTGTTCTTTACCAGCTAAGGATGGAGAGGGTGGGGATTGGAGAGGGCGAGGCTCTGCCGCCGCCGCCACCGCGGCTGCCGGAGGAGGCGCGGGTCCACGTGGTGAGCTAGAGGAGGGGGCCCTGCGCCCAGCTCGCCGCGGTCCGCTGGCAGCAGGGATACTCTCTGTCTGGGCTGCGGACTCATAAAGTGACAGCAGCCTCCCAGCCCTCCCAGCAAGATCCGCCCGCCTCTTATCACTGGGCAGCCCCCACTCCAGGCTCCGCCCCAAGCCTTTCCAGTCTCTGGGACTCAGGAGTTCTGTGCGGTCTCCCTGACTGCTCTTGAGCAACTCGGGAACCAGATCCCAGCCCCTTCTCCATCTTCCTACACTTGCTCTCAGGGGAGTGGCGGTTGTGATCGTAGTGCTAGAGTTCAGTGTGTGTGTGTGTGTGTGTGTGTGTGTGTGTGTGTGTGTGTGTGTGTTGGGAGGATAGTCCTCCCCTCTTCCACTCTTCATTTCATTTAAACACTCTCATTCTGTCTATCCCACACTCACCCAGGGGGAAAGAGCACAATTATATACTTTTTTTTTTTTTAAATTTGAAGTCAGGGGTTCCTGTAAACGTCAAGGGCTGTCCTTTGATACCTGAGTGGAATAGAGAAACGGGTTGGGTCACATTATATTACATATATTTCTAAACATCTAAATATTTATATACTTTTTAAAATAGTTAATCATTAAAGAAACTCAAACTTTTCCAGAGTGGTTATGCCATTTTACATTCCTGCCAGCAAGGCATGAGTAGGGGGTGGGGGGAAAGAGGGTGTGTCATTAAAAATTGGTAACGTGAGAGATCTTTGTGGTGATGAAACAGTTCTCTATCTTGACTGCGGTGGTGGTTACCCAAATCCACCCAGATGATAAAATTGCACAGAAACACACACAAACACAGACACACACATGCACACAAATGAGTACATTTAAAACTGGTGAAATCTGAATAAGTCCTGGTGAAGGCTACCGATGCCAGTTTCCGGATTTTAACACCTACTATAGATACATAAGATGTTACCTTTGAAGGAAACCGGGGGAAGGAACATGGGACCTTTCTATACTATTTTCTTTATTAAGTCACAATTGATATATGACATTATATTAGTTTCAGATGTACATCTGAATGATTCGATATTTGTATACACAGATGTCTGGTATGTATGTGTATCTGAGAAAGGTTTAGATTGAATATATTTACACAAGTATATATGTGTACTAAGTTCTCAGACACTTAAATATGGAGTAATGGTCTGAATTTTTGTGAGAATATTGTCTCTGGTGTCTTCCTTTAGAAACGTCTTTTTTTGTCACCATCTTCCCCTTCAGATGCTCACTTTGGTGGCCTTATGCCAACTCTTTGTTGGCCTGGACCTTCCCTTTTCTCTTTGGAAAATACCAGTTGCCTGTCCATCCCTCTGGGTCAGACTCATTGCCTAAAACTTTATCCTTCGGATAGGACTGGTCGGGCTTTGGTTTGGTACATTTTCTTTTTCCTTGCAAGCTCCTGAAAGTGGCATTCTATTCCTACCCACTCCCAAAAGCGGCGCTAAAATGATCTTATGGCTAGTACCAAAATGATATTTAGACAAGTGACATAATCAAACTCATAAGTTGCCAACGATTCCTCTTTTGAATAGAGTTTGATGTTAAAGTGTATGGGTGTGTCCGTGTTGTGGATTATAGACAAATATGAAGATACATGTGTGTGTGTGTGTGTGTGTGTGTGTGTGTACTGATACATGGATATAAGCATACCTGATGTAGGTAAGGAATTAGGAATCAAATCCATTAATCATGCATTCATCTTGTAAATGCCAGAAGAACTTGCACAAGGATGTGTGTTTTTATAATAATCATATTTTGTTATGTTGTCTTTCTATTTTTTTCTTCACCACTTATATCCCAGTTTGCTCAGCTCTTTATGCCCTCGTACATGTGTACACAGGGACCACTTTCGGGGAACAATAACAGTAAACAATAAGATGTAAAGCATTTCCCGGTAAGGTATCATTTATTAACATTAATATTCCACTAAGTGACACTGTGCTTGGCTGGCTTGAAGACGAAGGGTATTATTTCATAATCACAGAAAAATGCTCTCTCCTGAGAAAAGTATTTTATTTAGCTATTGCTGGAAAAAAAAAGTTTCATTTGTTTTTAGTGCACTTAAAACAGTAGCAGTCTTGTGAATCTTTCCAGGAGAGACACCCAAGAAGAATGCAAATTCTGTGTCATCAGCCACGTGGGGCTTTCAATCCATAGAGTGTGCTGTGTGTTTCTTTGAACTATTGATTGGTTTTTCCAATGCAATACTTCCAAAGTATGGTAAATCTTACGTTGCTATTTTCAAGACTCCAAATCAGCAAGAATGGCCATGGACATTATAAAGTGCATTCCACCATGTATGCTTCAAACTGTTTCTTCTGATTTCATTATCACAACAACGGGGCTCGGTATAGAGAGCTGAGATCATTAGCACCAACTGTTTCCCCCATCGTGCTGCTTTTCATGGAGAAATGATACATGTGGATAAGACAGAATCTTTTGCACGCCCTAAGACAGGCATTTAAAAAGGAATTCTCACAAAATGAAATAAAGCTCTTTACTTTCTTTGGAAATAATAAGAAGGTGGTTAATGAGCAAGAAACTGGAAGATCTTTCTTTCTTTTTTTTTTTGTAATCTGTAGGAGGCTTCATCTTTGTTAGGAAAATTAATCTTTTCCTAAATATGTAAAACAGTGTGTGTGCCTATGTGTTCACATCCATCTCTTCTACAGGAAGAAAAGCAGCAGCAACCACAGAGACGAGCTGTAACCCCTGTGAGAGCTTTAATGAGGAGTCAAATGGAACTCTCACAATGCCCTTCCAGTGAAGTTCAGTCCTGTCCTCCAGGGACCGACTCTAATGCAGTTCAGTGTGTCTCGTCCTGGCTTCCCCTGCTGAAACCGCCTAGCAGGCTGTCAGCAGTTTTGGTATTACATTGTGTTTATGGGGGTTGCTCAGTGATGAACACTTTACTTTTCATACTGCAGAAAAGACTCAAGCCATTGATCTCCAGACTCCATTCCACTTACGAAGCTATGCCTTCTGTCATCCGTATCTCACGTATTACAACTGTTATCTCACATGGACTGTGGATTATATGTAATATGGTCTCAAGACCAGATTATCAGGAAGCTTCCTGATTTTCTGTTTATTAGAGCATTTGTTTTCATTTCTCTCTTGATGAACAGTGGTTTCTCGCCTAAAAGATGTGCTGACAATTCATAAATTCTGTCTTTCAAAATGAGAATGACTGGCAGCCCTCAGGTGAATAGCGTGTTCCAACCGCCACGACTTTTTATTCTTGCCACACTTGAAAAACAGTGATGTTCACTACAGAAGGTCGTTTCTGCTTTTACGTGAGCCTCTTTTTTCTTCGTAATTAATTCCTGTGAAGGGATCTATCTTCTTTTACTTGACCCTTAACTAGTTTTATGAGAAGTCAGATAAGAATATTGTATTACAAGGTATAGGTTTAATGACACAAAATTACCCACTTATTCAAAGGAATAAGAAAATATATGTAGAAAACATGAGCAGAAATTTCGATTGGACACAAACTGCAGGCTGTAGAATGAGTCACCCTGAATTAGGAAGGTAGGTGGTCATTTCAAGATAATATTCCTTCTTTCAGTTATATTCTAGAATTGCTATGTGTTGTTAATATTTTCTTTAATATACTTAATTTAAAAAAAAAGACATTAAACAGTCCTAAGTTATACAGTTTTACTTTTTATATTTTTATTTGTTAATATGTGATGCATTGGCTAATGAGCTTTTATAAAACATTTTTCTGACACATTGTTATCATATACTCATCTAACTTTTCTTCATAACTAGGTTTGTTGACTCTATAATTTAAAGCATTATCATCCTGCATGGGAGGATTCACTTTAGCTTGGCAAAAGGCATGGCTAGAACCTGAACATAATTTATAAAGAAAGCAAGACATATTTGCTAAGTGAAAATGATGTCTGCCCACACTTCTTTCATGTCCTCCTTTACTTTCCTTCAACTAAAGATGAAATGCAACATTTACTGTCTACTATGTGTCACACATAGTGTCTATATACTTAAAAAGGGGTTGCCAGTATGTAATTAAGGAAAATTTGGTCATAGTGATTTCACAGTAACTATGAAAACATTAATCACATACTTCAAAAATTCACTGCCTTAACTGCTAAGAATTTTACCAAGAGGCACAATACTATTGCATTGACAATTTTATTTCAAATCAATTGCATCAAATCAATTTTTCATGCTAAAAATTATGAAGTAAATGATGTTTTCAAATCTGTGTGAGATGGGGTAAAGATGACTATAGTGTGACGAGGAATAGGGGATGCCACTGATAGAGTGGTGTCATTACTGGTCCTAGAAGAATCCAGAAAAAAAAAAAACAAAGATGGCACCAATGTTCTGGGGGGAAATCCCAGTGCCAAGGGAAGAACGTTCTCCTCTTAAAAGGATATAAAGAAAAGGCATAATTGTGAAGATGTACGTTTCTAGATACGTTCGTGAAGTATGATTATCCATAAAAGGAGCAATTTGGGAGAGGGAGGTGCATGTAGAGATTTCATCTATTTGTTTGGTAGTTTGATATTGCACAGAAAGTTACAAGGGTAAGTATTTATCACATGCGTAGAGGATGCTTTGAATGAAATCCAGTTAGGGACCAATGTATGTCAAGCCTGCGGCCATTCTTGTTAACTCGCTGTCTGACACTACAATGGTCATTTCCAAACTTTTCTGCTCAGCTCAACTGTCCAACTCTCTGTCCCGCAGACCCTTACAGTGCTTTGGTTTCACCTTTTACCTTACAGAGAAAATAAAAGCCATCAAGGGACGACTTTTTTTTGTCTTCCTTGACAGTAAACATAATCCCACCCATATCTGTTCCTAGCTTTCTTGTTAAAAACAGAGCTCGCTCTCAGTAACCGTCTAAGGCGAATTCCACTGTCTGTTTTCTAGAACCCATTCCTTCCAGCCTTCCCTACCCTCTTACTTTAAACCACTCCCTTTTGACATGTTCCATCCCTTGGCTTTTTAACCATGTTCATACCTTTTTAAAGCTGAAGGTAAGAAAATCTTCACTGAATCATACATGCTCTCAGTTGTTGCCTTTTCTTTCTCCTGATGCTTCACCCTTCACAACGATATTTCCCAAAGTGTTGCATATATTCTCTGTCTCCATTTTTTTTCACCATCTATTTATTTTTCCAACCACTCTGGTGTGGCTTCTACCCCCATCGTCTCACCAGCACTGCTCTCATGAAGAATCTCTTGGTAACATATGCTATGTTGGCTTCTCCACCCTTTCTGAGACACTCTCATCTCTGACTTTCAATAACTCTGCACATTT